ATAATAATAATAATAATAATAATAATAATAATAATAATAATAATAATAATAATAATAATAATAATAATAATAATAATAATAATAATAATAATAATAATAATAATAATAATAATAATAATAATAATAATAATAATAATAATAATAATAATAATAATAATAATAATAATAATAATAATAATAATAATAATAATAATAATAATAATAATAATAATAATAATAATAATAATAATAATAATAATAATAATAATAATAATAATAATAATAATAATAATAATAATAATAATAATAATAATAATAATAATAATAATAATAATAATAATAATAATAATAATAATAATAATAATAATAATAATAATAATAATAATAATAATAATAATAATAATAATAATAATAATAATAATAATAATAATAATAATAATAATAATAATAATAATAATAATAATAATAATAATAATAATAATAATAATAATAATAATAATAATAATAATAATAATAATAATAATAATAATAATAATAATAATAATAATAATAATAATAATAATAATAATAATAATAATAATAATAATAATAATAATAATAATAATAATAATAATAATAATAATAATAATAATAATAATAATAATAATAATAATAATAATAATAATAATAATAATAATAATAATAATAATAATAATAATAATAATAATAATAATAATAATAATAATAATAATAATAATAATAATAATAATAATAATAATAATAATAATAATAATAATAATAATAATAATAATAATAATAATAATAATAATAATAATAATAATAATAATAATAATAATAATAATAATAATAATAATAATAATAATAATAATAATAATAATAATAATAATAATAATAATAATAATAATAATAATAATAATAATAATAATAATAATAATAATAATAATAATAATAATAATAATAATAATAATAATAATAATAATAATAATAATAATAATAATAATAATAATAATAATAATAATAATAATAATAATAATAATAATAATAATAATAATAATAATAATAATAATAATAATAATAATAATAATAATAATAATAATAATAATAATAATAATAATAATAATAATAATAATAATAATAATAATAATAATAATAATAATAATAATAATAATAATAATAATAATAATAATAATAATAATAATAATAATAATAATAATAATAATAATAATAATAATAATAATAATAATAATAATAATAATAATAATAATAATAATAATAATAATAATAATAATAATAATAATAATAATAATAATAATAATAATAATAATAATAATAATAATAATAATAATAATAATAATAATAATAATAATAATAATAATAATAATAATAATAATAATAATAATAATAATAATAATAATAATAATAATAATAATAATAATAATAATAATAATAATAATAATAATAATAATAATAATAATAATAATAATAATAATAATAATAATAATAATAATAATAATAATAATAATAATAATAATAATAATAATAATAATAATAATAATAATAATAATAATAATAATAATAATAATAATAATAATAATAATAATAATAATAATAATAATAATAATAATAATAATAATAATAATAATAATAATAATAATAATAATAATAATAATAATAATAATAATAATAATAATAATAATAATAATAATAATAATAATAATAATAATAATAATAATAATAATAATAATAATAATAATAATAATAATAATAATAATAATAATAATAATAATAATAATAATAATAATAATAATAATAATAATAATAATAATAATAATAATAATAATAATAATAATAATAATAATAATAATAATAATAATAATAATAATAATAATAATAATAATAATAATAATAATAATAATAATAATAATAATAATAATAATAATAATAATAATAATAATAATAATAATAATAATAATAATAATAATAATAATAATAATAATAATAATAATAATAATAATAATAATAATAATAATAATAATAATAATAATAATAATAATAATAATAATAATAATAATAATAATAATAATAATAATAATAATAATAATAATAATAATAATAATAATAATAATAATAATAATAATAATAATAATAATAATAATAATAATAATAATAATAATAATAATAATAATAATAATAATAATAATAATAATAATAATAATAATAATAATAATAATAATAATAATAATAATAATAATAATAATAATAATAATAATAATAATAATAATAATAATAGCCCCTTCCACGGACAAGCTCAGCTTTTGGGGTTACAATTCACTCGTAAGGAGGTGAATTAGGGAGAGTATTATTATTATATTATATTATTATATTATTATATTATTATATTATTATATTATTATATTATTATATTATTATATTATTATATTATTATATTATTATATTATTATATTATTATATTATTATATTATTATATTATTATATTATTATATTATTATATTATTATGAGGAAGTGATGAACTCGCCGGAATGATATTGGTTTGGGGATTTTAAAACTTTTATACAGAGTGCTGTAATCTAGACATCTATAATTGGTTTACAAAATTTTGGTGGTGTAGGAATATTTTTTTTAACAAAGCAGCGTCTCACACTTTGTCAAAAGTATTAATAATATCTATGGGGTAAATACCGATTTCGCCGAGCTACTGGATTAAATAATTTTAAATGTAGCCACTTATTAATTTAAGCTACTGGAACTTTTAGTTGAGATATAGGCTTGTAATGTGAAAAAATTGTTGGATACAGACACATTTTCTGCTTGAAGAGGAGAGTGAAAACAGAAAATTTCACGTTTATGGGGACTATCGACTAGCTAGTGTATTTTCAGTTTAGCTTACATGTCCAACTGCTACTGCACTGATGGTGCAATTTTACTATTTTTTTTGTATACTAGACGTGAGTTTATACATATTTTTATCCGTAAGATCATGCATACATATTTGATGGAATTAGACCATTTTCTAGCGACTTCAAAAGCTTTGTTAAACCAACATTTGTCTTTTGGGATGCTAATTTTATTTTTATTTAAGATAAAAGCTTCAATTACTGTTTAATTACACTAATCAAATATTTCCCTTTCGGTATACTAGTTCTGTTTTTATTTAAGATAAAAGCTTCAATTGCTGTTTAATTAGAATTGATCAAATATTTCTCTTTTGGGATGATTGTTTTGTTTTTATTTAAGATAGAAGTTACAATTAATGAAACAATCGGTTATTGATCCGATAACAAAGTAAATATAAATTCTTTGGAAATTTCCAAATACATTTTTCAAAATTACCGCTAGGAATTAAAAAAAATTGTTTTTGAACCCCCCAAAGTGAAACGTGGAGGGTTCGAATTCTATTTTGGGATAGAATTTTTACTAATAATTTATTTTTACTTTGGGTTCAGAAATAAATTTAAATCTCTAGTAAGGGAAATTTTGAAAAATATATTTGGGAATTTCCATTAAATATGTTGATAAATTCATTAATGAATTTGTAAAGTAAGGACTTATCATCGAAAAATTTATACTATTTGTGAATTTTTCCAAGGACAAAATTTTAATTTGATGAAAAAATTTTGTGTTAAAAAGTTAAATGAAGATTTGCTTTCGCTTAACCTCTTCTTAACTTCACCCGTGGACATACTGTATGATCTTATTATTCTCTGCTCTAGTTGACAAATATGTTTATTTCATGCTCTCAAATTCGATATCCTTTGCGGCCAATCTCAATGGCTTTTGTTTTATGTTGCCCAAAGGAAAGAAAATTGAAATTTTACTATCTTTCCCTTTTAGGAAAAGCTACACTTTCCACTCTAGCGATGCAAATAACTATTTCATGGTCCAAATTCAGGTTGGCATCTGTTATAAAATGTAAAACCAAACAAAAACACTGTAAATTATAATCCTTTTATATTACCACAAAACTCGACAATAACAGAACTTTCCGTAATTTACTTTTATTCCGAATAATGTGATTTTGCATTTTGCATTCATAAAATCGCTGTTTTGTTTATTTCACAGAATTATACGCCCTTTGTTTATTCGGTTTAATTTTGTATGAAAAATAGCAAGTTACATTTTTCAGGATGTTAATCTTTAACTTGCAGATTTAGAGGACAATAGGGTAATAATTCCAGTTAATTTATGCGCTTCTCGAAAAAATGTTGTTGGTGAGAAACTTTCTATGATAAATGTGTATTGCAAAACGCAACATGCAGGTTTAAAAAAAAGTTATATTTTGTGAAACTGAGTAAAATATTATGGTTTTTAAATAAAAAATATCTGATGTGTTTATAATATGAATTATTTTCCACACAGATTTTATTCGAAACAATATTTAGTACCTTCATTGCCAATGAAAATATACAGGGTGTTTCCGAACTTGGCGTTCAAATTTGTAGGGGTGATAGTTCGCATAATTTGAGAGCGATTGACAGATTTCATTTTTCTAAAAAAAAATTATAATAAACAAAATAGAGCCATTATAAAAAATCAAAGAGCGGGTCCTACCCTGAGCGCGTAGCGCAATAGTCGCCTGATCAGTTACTCATTGGGATTTACAACTCAAAAACAGATGCGATTTGCAATTTTGTCGAATCTAAGCAAACTTACGGATAACTAGATCGTAGCGCGCGCGAGTCGAGGCGATTCCCATCGCTGTGTAGGATCGTACTTGTTTAAAATTTTTAATTATTTTTATTTTAAAAGTTTTGGAAAAATGAAATCTGCGAATCGGTCTCAAATTATGCGAACTACCACCCCTACAAATTTGGACGCCAAGTTCGGAAACACCCTGTAGAAACATTTTATACTTTTTCTCCATTTTGAACTTTTCTCTATTACGGTCCATTATAGAGAATGACATTACATTACAACCAAAAAATTTTCTTCTCTAATAATAAATAGACCTTAAAAAAATTATAGGACATCTTTTTAACATATTTATTTTTTTTTGTTTCAGAACCGCAAGCTAATGCCAAAGTTCGTGCTGAAAGAAATGGAGTCCCTTTACATCGAAGAACTAAAATCGTCGATTAACTTATTGATGGCGAATCTGGAGTCGCTACCAGTATCGAAAGGATCGATGGATTCCAAATATGGGTTACAAAAACTAAAACGCTATAATCACAGGTTGCATAACCATAATAATCCATATAATGTGAAGCACATTTTGATGAATTATGTTACTTCTTTTAGATCGCAAGGATCTTTAGCAAAGCTCGAAGGAGACTCCGCAGATAGTGATACACAGCTAACTAAGCTTGATGTCGTTTTGACTTTTCAACTTGAGGTGAGGATTTTTTCAATTTTTCTGTATATATTTCAGGTAACTTGAAAAGGTTAGCTTGGCTTTTTAGTTTTTTATCTATATTCATCAGTTGAGTCTCCCAATGGATAAATGACTAATTATTCCCTGACTTGATTAAAGCGGCCGCACTAGAAGGAGACAAACGAGAATAATCAATAAGAAGTATAGGCTGTTAACCTTTGTCAAGTTGTCAATAATGCATCTAACCAATACGTAAATGTAGTTAAATTTGATCGTGTTCCACGATGTTATAATTCCAGAAGAACATTTGGGCGAAATCTTAAGAAATTTTGGAGACTCAGTATGACTAAACGGTTGAAACTATTTCAAGTATGAATGTGAAATAATGCAGCAAAGTTCAGAAAACCAGAGGCCATTGAACTTAATCTTGAGTCGTTAATCAAGCCAATAGCTTTTCTTTCAACGAGATACATATTGAAAAGTTTTGTTGTTCTCCAAACGTAAAATCATTAATTAAGATTAGGTCTTATTTGGTTCTAGTGTGTTAGATTGATGAAAGGGAGAAGTTAAATTCACTTGACTAATATAAATATTAAAATGTGTATGTATTTACTAAATGGAATATAAAAAGCTCAGCTAGCCTTTTCAAAGAAAAGCAAATGAAATTATATGTCGCTGTCTCTAAAAAACAAAATATAAATCTAGATTCTCTTTATTTTACTATTTCTTGGAAAAAAGATACGTTGGAAAAGATCTGCTGCAGAAAAATAACAATCTAAAAAATACTGAGAACATTTTATAAAATTATGAAAAAGTATTCATGAAATAAGAAGTTTAGTTTTCCTAGCAATATAATTTCGGTGTTTTTTTTAGAAATTATACGTATAGAATATTATATTGTTAATACTTCTCATAAAATTAAAATCTTAGTAGGAATGTTTAATAAAAATATATTTTATATAATTTAAAAATCCAGCTAAGAAAATATCTATTTATTAATCTAGTAAAATATTTTCAATTATTACACTTTAACATGCAAACTGCAAATTTCATAGTCCGGGCGGTAGCGTTGAAAATTATAAAGTCATTTCATATCGCTTGATTATTGTTGTGAATAATTAATTGATCTTGGATAACTAGTAATATATCTGAATATCAGCTGCGTTAGTAGCGATAAACTTATATTCAGGAATAAAGATACCTGGGACATGCTCCAGGATAAAATGCTAAAGAAGTAGTTTTGTGAACAACTTCAAAATCACAGAGCTAAGCTGCAAGAAAAACGCGCTTGCAACCGAAAGACATGCTATTCAGTGGTATACAGACGGTTGTAAAACCATAGAAGTAACTGGAATAGGAGTGTATGGGCCGAGAACCAAGCACTCCGAAAGCTTGGGAAAATACCAAAGCATCTTCCAGGCGGAAATTCACGCCATCGAGAAGTGTATCCAGTTTAACATCGAGAGAAACTATCATAGGCAAGAGATTATCATCATGTCCGATAGCCAAGCAGCCATCAGAGCGCTGAGCTCAAAAATGGTCTGAAGATGCCTAGAACAATTAAATGAGCTAGGTGGGTACACGGGGTACAGGGTAACGAGATTGCAGATAGTCTTGCAAGGAAAGGGGCTCAAACACCCTTTGTAGGACCTGAGCCGTTCTGCGGTATTAGCAGTAACATAATATTAGGAGAGATTAAAAAAGAACCGATAATTGGAACAATCTCTTGGGGCTGAGATAGGCTAAAATGCTTCTGGGTGAATATAACCAGAAAAGATCGGAACCCTGCACCTGCCTGAGCAAGAACTAAAAGGACACCTTAGTAAACTGAGAGTAGTAGAGGATAGTGAGTGCAGATTATGTGAGGGGGAGGAGGACGAAACCTCCAATCACATTTTATCTGAATGTGTAGCACTCCAGAATCCAAGGAGGATATCAAATAGAAGAGGGAGATTCACCTAACTTGAAGCCACTCCAAATCCTACACTTCCTTGAGAAGATAGAATTGGAAGGGTCGTTATAGGCATTGAGACATTTCCTTGGTTCATTAGCGGCAGAAGGGGACACAATAGATCTTTTAGGTCGCAGCGTATTAACGCCTCATTCCCAACATAGCATAACATAACATATATTATCAATGTTCATAAAATAATTGGGAAAAAATAGCCCCATTTTATTCAGATTTTTTTTAAATCAATAGGCTTTGTCCCCTTATAGAGCTTGATTTTTTCTAAAAATTTCAAGTTGATGTTATTTTTCATTTTTGAGTTAGAATTTTTTTAACATTTCAACCTTCTTAACCACCATTTTTATTCAGATATTATTTTCAGATTCAATAGGCTTCATCTCCTTATAGAACTTTTACTAATAATTTCATATTGATATAGCTTCTCGTTTTTGATTTATGATTTTTTTATATCAATCTTTTTTAAACCCCCCATTTTTAATGAGATTTTTGTCAAAATCAAAGCACTTCTTCCCCTTATAGAGCTAAAAATTTCTAATTCATATCATTTTTCGTTTATAAGTTGTAATTTTTTAGATTTCATGTTGATATCGTATTTTCGTTTTTGATTTATGATTTTTTTTTAATTTCAACTCCCCTGAACGCCCCATTTTTAATCAGATTTTTTTCAAAATCAATAAGCTTCTTCCCCTTATAGAGCTTGATTCTTCCTCAAATTATCAAGTCGATTTCATTTTTTTATTTTTGACTTATTGCGGACAAAAAACGTGACATCGGACGGACAGAGTAAACCTATAAAACTCTTCACAGACTACTGTATAAAGGGCATAATAATACGAGCAACCGTTTCCCGCCGGAAAAGAACTACTCCTTTGACTAATCCACTTACAACACTCACAGCAGGCATTGGATTATACCCAAAGAAAAGCAGCAGAAAAAAATTAAGCAGTGTGGAAACACTAAACAAATGCAACGCTATCTCCCGGGCTATCACGTCAATGCAGTATATTTAGATAAATTTAAATTATATTATCGATTTTGAAAAGCAAACGCGATAAAAGTTATATCACGATTAATTACTATAACCACTATTTACAAGAGCGTAATAAAAATATTTTTTAGGGGGTAGGTGGAAATATGTTGGAAAACATTTTAAAGCATCTTTTTTCTTAGAGATAGTAAATTATGTAAAATGGTAATAAGTGGTATTCTCATCAAACAGAAATTTAAGTTTGGATAAGGAATGCAAGCTTTTATAGTGTTGGTTTTTATGTTTGCACATTTTCCTCTCTCCTCACTAATATTTGCTTTATCACGATTTTAAAACTCTATGCGTTTTTACGGGAGGGTATTGATAAATTCTTGCATAGAAAATGTTAGGTTTCATGTGAAATAAATTGCTTTTCAAATGGTTCTTATTAGCTCAAAATCATGACAAATTTTCTGGAGTAAATAGATTGGTCTTCATATGTAGCATTTATCTTTGATGCTTATGTTCCTATTTTAAATTCTGGAAACTCAAATCCTATGTAAACTTATTTGTTTGACGTGTACTTTATTAACCACAGATACTCAATTTTATCAATATGGTGATATATAATATCGAAACGAAAACTCTAAAGATATATGTCAATACCATCTCGTAATATATATGTTTTACCTACTTCTTCTATATATCTTTACTAACTGTAAAGTAGAACTAAAAAATATAATTCCGAGTTTCATAATTTCGGCGAGTAAATCTTATTAATATTATTGTTGTGACGATAGTGGCAAATGAAATTCGCGTGGCACAACATTGTACGTCTTCCAGTATATTATGGTCTCGGGTCTCGGATGAGCACTTAGTACCAGACAGAGCCCACTTATTTTATTATAGATATAGATTTTCTAAATTTGAATGGCGACAGGAAAAGAGATACTGAAAAATTATATCTTCATGACGAATATTAAAGAGTTTGCCACACGAAAAATATGTTAGGACCACGATAAGTCACGTGTAACGGTTACACGTAGGTCTATATGAGACGAATCCACATGTAATACACTATTTTTAAGAATATACTGGAACCGACATTAAATTTATATTGCTGATGTAGTCTTTTATCCATAGTTGTAGCTTTCCTCGAATACTTCAGTATCTTCTTGTGTATGTATTTCATTGTCTATGTCTGTGCTATTGTCTTAATTCGTTTGTAACGTGGCGTCACTGCAGTCTAAGCTATTGTACCACCGTTTGAACGTCCTACTACTTTCCCATTCACCAATTCATTCCCACATTTACCGTCACTCGTTTCACGTCGTCAATGCTTAAACGCTAGTCGGCTAGGTCCCATGATGGCACAGCCCATGGCGGAACGTCCCTGCGGTCACCCATCCACGACGTGACCAGAGAGATCGCTTTAGAATAATCACCACTGAAAATTAATTATCTGGAAACATTTAATACCACTTTTTTTATTATTATTTTGATCTAATCATTTCGAACCTTGTGTTTATTTTCGCCAGAATTACTTCATTGCTGCATTCAGTCCTTAAATTTGTCGCATTTAAATTTCGATCCAAAAATAGAGATATATACTTACATATTCTTGTCGATTTGGAGAGAGGTACACATTGAACCTTTTGTATCGATCTAAAACCCTATTTATAATTTAAAATTACTTTCCTTTATATCGTTCAAATGAACTCGTGCTATGTTATCATAGAGCCATTTAATATTAGTAATTTTACTTTTTAATTTATCAATAAAACTTCAAATAATTTCTGGTTAGTTATATTTTCAGGAAATGAATATTCATCTAATTAGGAGTTTTTGGTATGCTTTGTAACTTTGTAAAAGTGCCTGTAAATATTTGATTTATGAAATTTACATTATAAGATATTTTTTATAAAAATACATACATTTAAATATATGAAACATAGTGACATTGACATAAAGTACTGTTTTTTATCTTACTTTTGACTAAATCTAATAAAGTGGGGAGTTTATATAAATGTATAGAAAAAAAAATGAGTTATTAATATTACTTTTCTTCCAAATTTTTACAATTATATATATTTTTATTTGTAAATAAAAACTTCAAAACACAATAGACATATTCATCATTCTAATTTTAGCTCATAAAACAAAAAACTAATAAAAGAATTTTGATAATTTTCGCTTTCCACTGGACAAAGCAATGAGCGCTCCAAAAAACTTTTCAAAACTTTATATTCGTTCATAAATTTCCTCATCTCGTGATACCGTCAGCAAAATTCAATGTTTCTGAGGAAATTTCTTTTAGATTTATTACCTTCATTGATGTAAAGAGGTCGCTTTCTATCTATGTAATGCATTTTAAATCAATATTCAAACTGCATGATTCTAAAGGATCAATATTTTAAAATGCATCCCAGCAGGATAAAATCAATATATCTTCTATAGTTTTCCTTCATTTTTAAAAGTAGGAGAACATAAGAATTCAAAACTGGAAATATTCTTATGCCAGTTACGGTATTTTTTGTGAACACTGTATATATACGTATGTTATAAAATATACCAATAATGATTAATTATGTACCGACCTAGCTGTCGGAGACTTGGAATTTATATGAAGTAGCTTATGATATTCCATCCAATAAATTTTCTCGCGCCACATCAGCGGAATTTGTTTAATAAGAAAAGGAAAACTTTCAAAATCCTTCCCTGTTATCCTGTGCACCACTATTGTCCCGTTTAGTAATAAAGTAAGGTTAAATCGAGTTTGTCCAAATGAAACAAATTACTTTTTTGGATCCAGCTTTTAAACTAGAGGTATTGTATGAATTATCATTGCATGATGGAAACATTAATCTTCATGTAATGATAGCTACATTTTGTCTTTCGGTAGTAAAGTTTTAAAAACAATAATATTAAAACATGTTCTGAGATATCTTCTTTTATAAAAATAGAATAAAATTAAAAAGGAAAATAATTCCAAACTCAAAGACGTAAAATAAAGAAAAACAAGATATTCTCAAAGCCATATTGACATATAATACAAGCGTTCGTTTCCCATCGGAAAACAACTACCACTTTGGCTAATGCCACAAAAGGCATTGGAGTATATCCAAAGAAAAACAATAAATAGGTACCTTAATTTTTATTTACTTGCTATTTGCGTGTAATGGTGCTATTTTCTGAATTCCTAATTTAACTCATCCAACAACAAGGTATACACGCGAATTTTACTAATCTACAGTTTCCATTGGAGATTGGAAGTAAAAATGTCTATTTCTTGCTGACGAGTCCTAATAAAGACGAACACGCTCCAAGAATGACGTTCTTCTTACTAAATAAAATCAATAGAATCTTTGCTGCTTTTTTTTGGATATAATCCCATCCCGTTGTGAGTAGAAAATCCTAACTCAAAAACGAAAAATTATATCAACTTGAAATTTTTATAAAATTTTGGCAAAAATCAATATAAGGGGGCAAAATTTATTTATTTTAAAAATCTGAATAAAATGGGGGTCAAGGAGGGTTGAAATAAAAAAATATAAATCAAAAACCAAAAGCGATATCATCATGAAATGGGGAGATAAGGGGGGTAGTTGAAATATTGAAAAAATGTCAGAAACAGAAAACGATATCAAATGGAAATCTTCAGGAAAATCAAGCTTTATAAGGGGGGGGATGAAGCTTAGTGATTCTGAAAAAGATCTGTTTGAAAATGGGGGTTAAGGGGGTCTGTTAAATTGTGAAGAGTATAAAATAGAATTATATATCTTCATTCTAGTTTTAGAATAAAATTAGTGGACGAAATATAAATAACTTGCAAGAATTTTAGTAATCGAATCACTTTGTTTTATAGCGTATATTAATAATGAGTTAGTGAGTAATTATAAAGAGTAACTGGAGAATATCGTCTAAACACAATGATAACATACAATGTTAAATATATAGGTATTCAAAACAACTGATAGATTACCAGCTGCTTTAAATGAAACTATATTAGTATATATAGGAAACATTTGCTAAGATTTGTTCTAGAAAAACTATTTCAGTTCCTATCTTCTTTTTCCCAATGTAAGTTCTAAAATACCGCCTTTCCGAAACAAATGACACATATGTAATATGTAGTTACATATAATAAGCAAAGAAGTTTCGCTTTAGAAATATTTAGGAAAGAACCATGGGCGCCGTTTGAATAGTTTCCAGGGTGGGGAAGTTTCATAGGCAGGGAGAAGGGAGTAGACGCCTTCCTTTCCCTCGTGTGGCGGCGCCCATAGAAAGAACATTATAGACAAAAATAATTTCTAGGAGACGTCAAAAACATTTATTTAAAGAATACTCATTGACCAGTCCTGACGAACTATAGTAGTAAAGCGGATCAAGGTACACATCCTCTAACTTGAAAATCAGCTAACTCATTATATATTTTCTTAAATTAGTTAATCAGTTATTTTAAATTAAAAACAATAGTATCACTAAATAGTAAAAAATAAAGTGAATTATTTTTTAATATGATATTTTTATAGTCTTCTCTAAATTTTGCAAATCTAAGTTGTAGTGGGTATTTAGCTGTAAATGAATTATAACTTAGTAGTTTCAAACGTCTGCATTATTTTAAACCAACGTTTGTTACGTAGTTTCGCTCTATAATTCTAGAATAAAATATCGTTTTTTTATGGAATCGTCTTCATATAATTTCTACCAAAACTAGGCCCAAGACCTAATGGAGGTCTAAATAATAAAGTGATTTAGAGTCTATATTAGTCGCTACTTTATCATTTTATAAACCTCCCATAGGATTAAATTTGAAACGCATCACAAACCACTGGAAACTCAAACAAAAGCGAAATCTTTAATTACAGCTGAACGCAAAGTTATAGGTAGTCGTTAAAATGGGTATTTGCTTTAGGTTCTGTTCAAAATGGGCCAGGAATATCTATTCTAAATTATAGCCTGTAATAATTTTTAAATAGAAAGCCACAATTTCTGTCTTAAAAAGAATCATTACCTATTTAAAAACCGAGACATTGTTTTTAATGTTGAATAAATTTATTTTTATGTAACTAGTTAGCAGATCTAATAAATGTCACAAGTTTGGACTTCTTTCTCAGAGCCAATTAAATAACTTTTTTGGATTTTCATTTTAATGGTAAACGCGATAAAGTTGCGTGTAAGTTAAAATCTGGAAATGTGGGCATTTTAGTCAAGATGGGATACTGTGGGACACCCCTGGTTTAATCACTTTTTAGTTGAATTGCATTTGAATTATATTTGCAAAAATTCCCTAGCAGATAATATACTGAAGATGCTGCGTGAATATGGAATATTTACAAAAACAAATCACGTTTGCCAATTTAATAATTTAAATGATTTTTGTGATCCAGCTGAATTGTAGCATATAAAAATTACAAAGAAAGATCTAAGATTTAGAATTGGCAGAAGAAACTTTCTTTCATATGCCGCTGTAGCAATGCACAAAAAGCAACTTTCCAGCCCTGGCTGAAGTAAGGGCTACTTCCTTAATTATATTAGAAATTTCGTTGTCGAATTTTCTGCGGTAATTGTTAAAATTGCGATTAGAGTTTATAAAACAAAAATGACGACATTTTCTGTGTATAAAATAATTTAATCAATAATTATCAGATACACTGAATAGTGTTTAAGGGTTAAAGTTCGGTACCTCATTAGAATTTCTGAGTAATTGAGTTACCTAATGTCTTAGGTTATCCCTTAGCTAAATTACGCTGGAATTAATTATCTCTTCTATTAATCAATTTGATGTATAAAATATAGCTGATATTAGACGACCCCAACGAACAACGACGTATTTTATTTTAACCAATTTTCGGAAGAGCCTAAAATTGAAAAATCTATACTATAAATACGGTGTTACAACGATAGAAATAAAAAATTACATCAGACACACGTCATTTATACTGGGTATGCTGGGTTACGTCCTTCTTCATTGGAGGTGTCATATCAAACTAGGCAAATCCCATTTTAAATAATTAACAAGATAAAGTACCCAAAGCAATTTAATTCTAAAATTGTTACTTATCCTTTCGGACTGCGCCAATTTTAGATAAAAGGAAGTTATAGTACTTTAAGTAAATTTCGAAAAACCAGCTTAAATAATGTTGACCTTCTACTTGCGTTTATTTCTTCCGTTTTAGGTGATTGTAATGGAGGTGAGAGGTTTGAAATCGTTGTCACCGAACCGAATAGTTTACTGTACAATGGAAGTAGAGAACGGTGAAAAGTTACAAACAGATCAAGCTGAAGCCTCTAAACCCATGTGGGACACTCAAGGAGATTTTTGCACTACCCATCCATTGCCCATCGTTAAGGTTAAGTTATATACTGAGAATCCTGGAATGCTTGCCTTAGAGGACAAAGAACTAGGAAAAGTTATTATAAAGCCTACTCCACTATCATCTAAGGTAAAATTTTGCAATACAAAATAATATATTCTAACACTAACTTACATATTACACACAGTGGTATGGCGAGAAAGTGAGCGATTTTTTATTAAATTATTATTACCAAATTCCTAATACTTTCTTGATAGAATGAGAGTTTGGTATATTTTTTCTTCTGCAGTAGTAGCTATAGTAGTTAAGTTAGAAGTAGTTTTTAGTACACTAAGGGTTACTTCTTATGGGTGATTCTACAGTTTAAGAATTTGTTTATGAAGTTTTCTTTCATCTCTTAATTCAGTTGTTGTTTTTATTGCTAGAAGAAAAACTGGTTCATAATATTGAAAGTTTTTGTCCAATATGATTAGTTTCTCTGCTTTAATAGTTTTGAAAGTCTTAAGGGTGCCAATATAGTTTTTCTGCAAAATACTCCTTCTAAATTTATGCAACACTAGTTTACCACAAAGGTGTAAAAGAATCAATAGAAGAGCCGGAAGTGGTAGGTACGATTCATATCTACATCGACAGTTCTAAAACAAAACAAGGTTCTTGATGTGGAATATACTCCAGGTCCTTAAACCTAAACATAAAATAAGCTATGAGCAATAGTGCCTGTGTAGTTCACCCTGAGCTCACGGGGATTCTCATAGCAGCAAAAGAAATCACCAGAAACAATATCACATGTTCATCTATGCACTACTCACTCTGAACAGATAACGAATTTACTCAGGGTTAGTACTAGAATATCACGAAGCTTTGGCGAAAGTATCCATCAACAATGTGGTCACCTTAGGTTACGCCACATCGAAAGGTAACCAAAATACATTTTGGTCCTGGCCCTTTTATTGGACTGACAACATCGGAAATGACAGACCTAATTAAAGAACATTCTCTTGTTAAATTAAAGGAAAGATGGGATCAAACAAGAAGCTGCAGACTTGCCAGGGAGCTTTTAAGTTATCCTGACAGCACTACAGCAAACAAATACTTGACTATGACTAGACAGAATCTGCGCCTGATCATAGGCATGCTGACTGGTCATTGTCAAGTACGGAAGCATCTGCATCCTACCATCGGAGATATATACATTGCCGAAATTTACGAGTAAATGACTTAACCTTCAAATGGTATCACAATAAGCCTTGAGGTGCTACTACGCTTCAGAGGATTTAGGGTGATAGCTGACGAAGAGTGAAAAAAATTGGACAAAGTATTCAAAACAGCAATCGAGTGTCACCTTAAGACAATATTATGCGTTTACGTTTAACACGTAAAAAAGGAATCTATTTTGTTATCAATTTTGATAAAATATCAAATGTTTTGCTTGAAAATTTGATGTAAATCATGTATGGATTTAAGGTCGAATCAAATTGTTAAGTGGATTTTTTCAGGTTGTGAAAGTGAAAGTTTTTTCTATCGGATATAGTATTTTCTTACAATTCTTAGTATAATTTCAAGGTAAAGAAGTATAATTGAGTGTCAAGTATTTGGATTTTAATATTCATTGAGTAACATGCATAAGGTAGATTTCTTTTCAATAAATAGCATTATTATCGAAAGTTAATTTGGATTAGACGAAGTTTGTACATATAACATGCTTTTAGAAGCTGTTTTAGTTTCGTATTTCCCTCAATTATAGACTAGATTTTCTAAGTTGTATTGTAGGTACTTACGACGTATATTTTGAAAAATTAATTTGAATAACTGGAAGTTTGAATTATATTAGGCCTTTACAGCGTTTTTATATACATATATATTTGAATCGATACATCAACATAATACAAGCTGCCAGTGAAACTATTTCTATTTCTAACTCCGTAGAAATTGTTTTTTTACTTAAAATTAAAATTACAGTTGTGATTTGAAGCTTAAAAATTTCAAAATTTCTTGCATGTTTTAAATAACAATTTCTCTATTTTGTAGTTGATACATTTTTTGCATCTTTATATTGAAGGTTTTAGGAAAAAGCGCATAAGCAACATACGAAGTCAATATCGTTTGGTCATTAAATACTTACAGTTTAACGTTATTAAGTATTTTAATTTAATGCTCTTTCATGTGATGCTACATCAGTTATCAAATTATGTTATCCTTACAGTATTCTATTGCTGTTTGACTTTATATCATAATATTCCTTCCTGACTGACTTTGTTATATTTTGAAACCAATTAGAATGAATTTACTCCTCAAGTGTTTTTACCAATTTCTTGTCGTCAGCTTTATAAGACAATATTTGGAAAAAATTGAAAAAGAGAAAACGGCAAAACAAAGCTATTCATAATCCCTGACAAGATAGTATCGTTAGAAAGAGCCTAATAATTGTTGTCTAAGAATTTATTGACCTATTTACACGATACACATCTGTGCATACAACTCACAACTAGACTTGTGTTTTAATAAGCGTAAGTAAATTTGTGTGAATCTTTAGGCTCCAGAGTGGCACAAAATGGCAGTACCCAAAAACCTACCTGACCAGGATTTAAGGATAAAAATAGCTTGTAGGATGGATAAACCCTTAAACATGAAACATTGCGGTTATCTATATGCAATAGGAAAAAGCGTATGGAAAAAATGGAAGAAACGCTATTATGTTTTAGTTCAAGTATCCCAATACACTTTCGCAATGTGCAGTTACAAGGAAAAGAAATCAGAGCCGTCTGAGATGATGCAATTAGATGGGTACACTGTGGATTACATCGAGGCTTCTAGTGGTAAGATGCACGACCTTAAGTTATTGACAGTTTTAACTAAGTTTTGTTTATTTTGAAGCCAACTTGATGGTGGGAATGGGTAAGCGTAAGTTACCAAATTTGTGTATATTTAACAATGCACGTTTTACGTACTCAAACAATCATTTCCAGACTTGGAGGGTGGTAGATATTTCTTTAACGCCGTTAAGGAAGGAGATAGTATTATTTATGCGAGTGACGATGAAAATGAATGTCATCTCTGGGTTATGGCTATGTATAGGGCCACGGGACAGTCTCACAAACCTACACCTCCACTTACTTTGCAGGATAAAAATTCGACCATATCAAAAATTCAAGGCGGTAAGCAAAAACACATTTATTTTTACATAAATCTCAAATTTCTAAAAATATTTCTCATAATATGAAAGTGCATCATGGTTCCGAATGAACATATTTTTAATTTTGGTTTCATTTGCAGATGCGGATAGAGCAAGAAAACATGGAATGGAGGATTTTATTTCTGCTGATCCATGCCAATTTGATCATGCTAATTTATTTCGATTATTACAAAATCTAACGCTGGAATATAGGCTAAACGATCCATATTGTTCTTTGGTATGTGTATTTTTAATTAATATTATTTATTTCTAATATTTTGGTAAAATATAAAATCTAAATAGATTAGAATCTAAATAGTTTTGTAGTGAATATAAAGAATATGGTCACTACGTAACAACGATTTTTTTTAAATGTTTGTAAAAAACAGACCTGGTAAATGTAGGGTAGAGTTGCCCAAGAGTACGCGTGTTCTAAGAGTGCGCAGTGCCGATTTGTCTATAAAAGCTTGTGTATGAAGCTCTGTGATTTATGTGATCATTAATTTCAAATGGATTTTTATAAATAAACTGCTTCCTTCTATGCTGTCACTCTTTAATAATGTTTTGATTTTCATCAGCCACCAAATGTTAATTTTATCAAAATCTGCCTCATACATATTTACGGTCCATAAAGTCGCATACGAATTTAAATTCGAGCACTTTTGTCGTATCCTGTTTACGAGGATACACTTTAAAAATCACCTAGTTGCTATTCCACATTTCACTAATCTTGCATGCGACTCGAGGTATTCGACATTCGAGACTACTACCCCTGGGATTTTCTAAAACCTCGGCGTTATAGGTTAAAAAGCGCCCCTAAAAGATTATTATTTTTTTATGAGGAAACGGCGATTTGTGCCACATTCTGACTAAGTGGGATTTAATCAGGTACTTCACGACTACATTCACTGAAAATTTCAGTTTTCTAAAACCCCAGCGTCATAGTATTTGGGAGCAACTTGTTCCACACGAACCTGTATCTTTACCAACTAAAAAAAAAAAAAAAAAAAAAACTGAACAAGCTACTCAGGCTTCTGGAAGTTGTTCTGTCTGCGGTGAAATATATTCGGACCCTCCAGAAATTGACTTAATTCAATGCTGCAAATGCAAACACTGATTTCATGAAATTTTCACATCTTACGATTTTCCAATGAGTTTATTTGTGACATATGTTCTTAATAGTACGTCTTGCGTACTTTTAGCTAAAATGCGTACTCTTATTTGATATACATAAGTACTCTTAAGACCAGTGTTAACTAAGAGTACGCAGATGTATTGCCTTTATTTTTATTTTTTTTTTGTTTATATATAATCTCACAAATAATTCCAGTTTAGTTTTATACAAATAACAGTATGTTCTATCAATAGTTAATAGTTTTATCTAAATTAAAACCAAGATTAATTGCTAACCAATATTTAATAGTTAAGTACGTACTCTTTGGCGACTCTACCTTATTGTTAAATGATTAATACTAGCAAATTGATGTAATTAAAATATGTTTTATCGGAGAATACAGATTATTCAAGACAGTATGAAGTGCAACTGAGAGCAATATTCCAAGTCTCATTACGTTAATAATATTGCTAATGAAGCTATTTAGATGACAGTATTATATATCTAAAACCTGTTTATATAACTGTTTTTATATAAATTGACGAAAATAGGTTTATTGATACTGGCTTGATGGATTGGCTAATCAACGAAATCTTCCTGCGGAAGATATTTGCATAGTCCAGCTACTTCGAGTAAGTAAAACGACTGTATTAATTGGTTAATCAGATACCATTGAAACAAGAACAGTTAATCATTTAAAATGGGACACCTATGTTACTAATGTTCTTCAATATACTCTGGACATATCAAAGTTATGAGTAGAGTTGGAAGCAGATGAGAAGAACTCTTTTGCAGACAAGCGTGCCATATCTAGTATTAGTATTACCTTTATGCAAACAATGCTATTATCAAGGATATCAATACTGGTTTCACTGTGATTGTTTCAATTATGGGTAACATTCTTATTGAGACTGGTGGAGAACGAAAAAGAGTATCGATAGCCAACCTTTATTATGAGACACCAACCGAAGAAAAAGAAGATGATGAGTAACAAAAGCTAGAAGGTCTAGTTTATTATAGAAATATGTTTATAATGTTTACTCCAATATGCGTTAACTGGGAAGGCTGACAAAGGCACAAACCTCTTAGTGATGCTAATACTAATTGACGATGCTAATACTAACTGACACTCATCTATGTGATTCATTGAATTTTCAACGAGTTTTTTTCCATCCACAGAAGGTTGCATATTAAGTTGACAAAGAGGGAAAAATTCGCAATAGGTCACGAGTGACTATTCAATTTTAAAATTGTAGATTTTATATACACGATATGTAAGAAAGCCAAAATGTTTTTGCACGCACTTACACCATCACAGAAAGCTGGAATTTCACCGAACTTTAAATAGTCTTTACGTGTTATTAACAAGTGTTGTTTTTGCTTTTGCAGGGTTGGTTTAGTCCAGGTCAAGTTTTCGTTCTCGACGAGTATTGTGCAAGATATGGCGTCCGGGGATGCTATAGACATTTGTGTTATTTATCAGACCTATTAGATAGAGCCGAGAAGAATCTTATGATAGATCCCACCTTAATTCATTATAGTTTCGCGTTTTGCGCAAGTCACGTACACGGAAACAGGTTTGTAGATTATGATAGGGGTGAAATAAACCGATTAATTGATTACAACAGTAATAACTTTAGACCGGATGGAGTGGGAAGCGTCACACATGAAGAAAAAGAAAAGTTTCAAGAGGTCAAAGAGCGCTTGCGCGTTTTATTAGAAAATCAAATTACTAATTTCAGGTAAGGATACGCTTTTTTAGCTCAAACAACGACCACACTTTACACAAACAGAAAATTGCCACAATGGTCAATTTCAATGTGAACCACGATGGCTTTCGTCACGCGGTTTATGGCAAATGTGAAGATTGAAAAGAGTGAGCATGTACATCACTACCGTAGGCTTGTGCTTCAATTAGTTAAACACCAAATTATTATTTTTTTTTTGATGAAGAGGTAGTAAGTAACTAAAGTTTATATAACGCAGTACTTTTTTTGTATTTTATCAAATATATATAACCGTTATAGGCTTTAAATTTTAAAATAGTCTGATCTACAGGTAAGCCTATTAGCTGTTGCACTCAACGAGACAATTTCAAAAAAATCAGAAAACATTAAACAAATTATTTTTTAAAATTAATTAATGAAAACATAATCTACATGAATGGAAATATCATATAAGTGTACAATTGTTCATTTCTTAAAAATAATGTAAGATAGGTGGCCTCCATTTTTTTGCACACTTTTCTGCAGATTCGTTGCAAAGCTGCCCATCTTTATATCTTTATCTTTGTCGGTTATAAGCAGGTAGGGTTAGGTTTGGTCCAGAACACTGCGGCCTCATGTATTCCGCTGCTTGTATTTCAGCCTGGGTTTAACTCTATGTACGCCAGAGCCTGTTCCCTTGTTAGTTTTATATCCATCCGTATACCATACGAGATCGCTAAGCAAGTATTTATCTATCTCCTTATTTACCTCGTTCCAGTTGCAGTTGACCTGGAAGAGTCTGTTGAAGGTTAGGAGGGGTGTCATGTGATCTAATTCCATGTTTAACATAGAATCATTTACTTCATGTGTTATTCTGATATGTTTTATATGTCCCAGTGGGTTCTAGTTGTTGGAGTTTTCCAGTCTGTATGCACTAATTCTGGCCTCCCCCTTTATAACTATGTCAAGGGGTGGGAGGTTTAGAATGATTTCCATAGAGGCTGTCGGTGTACTTCTCAGTGCTCCTGTAATACAAAGGCATGCCAGCCTCTAAACTCCTGAGAGGGTATTGAAGGCTGTTTTCTGGTTTACTTTTGGCCACCGAACAACCAGTCCATAAGTTATCCTGGGTCTTGATATTGCCAAATATTGCCAGTGGACCATTTTTGGTTTTAATCCCCATGTTTTTCCAAATGCCCGTCTCCCTACAATTAGATACATTTTACATTTGTTGGTCACTTACAAAAAGTGTTCCAAGTTCCAAGTAAGTTTGCTATCTAGGATTAGACCCAGATATTTTACTTGGTTTTGTTTAGCCTTCCTCCAAACAGAGTCGGCGTTTCTTAAACCTCCAACCTTGTTTTCCGAGTAAAGGTTATGAGTTGTGCCTTGTCAGCATAGTCTTTGGTAGTTACTTTGAAACACTTTTGTTTTCAAGTACGCCTAAATTAAAAAAAACGCATATGGACAAATTCGGAGGATTAGGTGACCAGTAAATATCACCTGGCCAAATATCCATGATAACTAACTTCCCACTCTCTAGATTCACAACGTTGACGAGCCAAGCCCGCCTTTCTTCTACTTTTTCTGCAGTAGTATTCTCAAATAGTATCTTTCATTGGCTTAGCCTTTATTAATAAAATATAATATTCAGTAATTAATCTACAATTTTTCTAACATTGGCTGAAGTTCGAATTTGGGATTTATAACGGAATTTCTTTATAAAATAATTGCTCTTTTGGTAAAACACTGGAAAATATTCGTTCTTACCGATACTTCTACCTCTTCATCACCAAAGAATTTAATGAAATGTATTTTTTTTAATATTGTGCAAGTTTAAATATTTATTTTTTATTTTATTTACTGTGAAATACATCATTCAACTTTGTAAAATCGAATGTATTATATAATAATTTTATATTTTATAAAAAAATTAATTAATCCTACTTATTATATATTATATTCGGTTCTGTAATACTAAAAAAATCTATAATTTATTATTATTGTTAATGTTTTATATTTTTTAAACTGTTTCAAATATTTTTAGCACTCTCTAATATTAGTTTTCAGTGCATTATGTTAAGTGTGGAATGTGTGTCATAACAATTATAAATTGCAGGTATTGTTTTCCTTTTGGTAGACCAGAAGGTGCTTTAAAAGCAACTCTTTCATTATTGGAAAGAGTTTTAATGAAAGATATTGTCACACCAGTGCCTCCAGAAGAAGTTCGTGGAATGATTAAAAAATGTTTAGAGACTGCTGCTTTAGTAAACTATACTAGGTTATCATCAGAAGCTAAAATTGAAGGTAAGCTTAATATAAAATCCAAATAAAATAATTTTTTGATATTACAAAAACACTGTTATTTTGTAGAAGATTTACGGGGTGAGACTATGGTTTCACCTAGTAAGAAATTAGATGATTTAATTCATCTTGCTGAACTTTGTGTCGATCTTCTACAGCAAAACGAAGAACATTATGCAGAGGTAACAGAACTAACTAAACATATATTATTGAATCGTATCTAAAATTGTTAATAATAATAAAAGAATGAATATCTACAAAATTGCAAATTTGAAAATTTATTTGTAGAAAAACTAATGAGGTGTTATTTTGTTTAAACAAAGTTAAAATCTATTATATTTTCATCTCAAGAATTTAATTTTTAATATATTTCTTTTTAATATAATAATATGATTTCTTAAATATATGAAAAAAAAAAAATGGTTATTTTTAAAGAATTAATATTCATCATCAACACATTTAATATTTTATTGTAAAAAGCATTATGTGGCATATTTTTGAATAGAATAAACATACTAAATTTTCGAGTATCAGCTTAATTGTGTTAATATTTTTTAAAAGTGATAATAATATTGTGCATTTGTATCTGGTATATTTTCTCAAATTTAAGAAAAATTATATATCTAATTTCTCTTTGGTTATAAAAATTTATATTATTTCTTGAATTTGAGAAAACACAAGGAAACGAAGAATTTCAATTATAATTTGCTAAAATTCATGTTTGCTATCGAAGAAGTAACTATTACATATAGATAATACAACTTCCGGATAAAATCATACTAAATTTGTCTTTAAGAAAGTGTAATTAGGCAATCCAATTAATCCTGATTTTAAATATTATTGAGCATCTTTGTGTTTACACATATATTGTAATGGTTCCACCCCCGAAAGATTAAACTATTTCAATATTCTCAAGCTTTTAGGGTTGTGGTTCCTTTGACTCCCTACAGAATGACAAAAAAAAACAATTAAATAAATTTTAAATTCGAAACAAATGAATATCTTCCGTCGCATTTTTTCATGTAATTCTGATTCCATTATCTGCTTTTTATATTTCCTGTTTTCCTGTATCTTGCTTTATACCTATACCTTCTGTTCTCCTGCCTCTTGCTCTACTGACTCCTACTCTAACTCCTGCCTTTTTATACCTCCTGTTCTCCTGCTCTAACTCCTGCGTTACTTCTTTAAATATCTTCTGCTTCTTTCAAGGACTAATATAGTCTTCCTCCTCTTCTGATTCCTGCCTTTTCTTGATTACTACCTTTTTAAATAATTTTTTTTATGTTTCTTCATTTCTATTCAAAAACAATTCCCACTGACAATATAAAACCTATCTGGCAATATTTTAAAATTTTCCACATTTCAAAATAAAATCTAATTTCCAAAAATATATCCCAGTACCATCGCAGTCACAGCCCTATTAGATCAGATTTAATTAGGGCTGTGGGCCATGTGGCCTCCCCCACCTCGACCTTTTCAGATCTATTGTGGATATCCTTGAATTTGTGTTCAGAGTACCTTGTCTAATTCGGTCTTTTGTAGTAGACTCCATAGACTAGGAAGTAGTTCTCCAGTATAGCTAGTTGTCCTTGGTTTTTCTTCTCCAAGTGTAAGAAATCTCAGTCTTGCTAGACCTTCCCAGTAGCACAATACGTGTTCTGCCGTTTCCTCCTCTTCCTGGCAAAATCGGCACAAGGTCTCATCTGTCAGACCGATATTATACATATGTTTGTTAAGCCTATAATGCCCTGTTAATAGACCTACTAGTATAGTATTTTTCCTATTACAGCTTAGTAGATGCTCGGTGAGTTTAGGCGATGGTCCTTTTAAGAACTCTTTGGCCTGTCTCTGTCCTGGGGAGTTTTTGAGTTTTTCCACCACTCCTGAGATTCTTTAAACATCCACTGCTTTGTGCATGTTCTGATAGTTGTTTTTGTTACACTACAAAAGGGTTCAGGGCCAATAAGAGCCAATAAGAGCCCTTATGTCCTCTGTGGTCTGGTACCCAGGCTAAGGTTAATGTGTTTTGACTACCCAGATCTGTTAGGGCTTCCAAACAGTCCCACACAAGCTTTGAGTGTATCTGCATGGAACTGAGTGCCTTTAACGTCACTTGACTGTCTGAGTCTATGACACTGGTTTTTCCATTTACCATCTGTTTTAATACCTCTTTTGCGCAGTGATGTATTGCTGCTATTTCTGCCTGAAATACTGTCACATGTTTTCCTAAGCTCGGTGAGAGTCTTGCTTTGACTTGGTACTATATATACCTACTCCTGAACCTTCATGGGTTTTGGAGCCGTCTGTATACCAGGTGAATTCTGCATGAATAGGAGGTCCTCCCGCCCACGCTTCCCTGTCTGGTATACTTACTTTATATTGCTTTTGAAAGTTATACTTTGGGAGCATTTCATCTGAAGGCATTCCCATTATTTGGTCGTTCTCCTACTCGCTGTAGTCGCGTCCATGCAAACTGTTTATGAATGAAGAACCTTTGTGCAGTCTGTATGTGATAGACCTGGCTTCGCCTTGAATGAATATATGTAGTGGTGTTAGGTTTAGCATGACTTCTATAGCTGCTGTTGGAGTCGTTCTCATAGCTTCCGTGGTACTCAGGCATGCTTGCCTTTGAATACCATTGAGATGTCGAATGGCTCCAGCTTGCCGAGTTTTTCGTCACCATACCACCGACCCGTAGGTTATCATCGGCCTTATGACTCTAGTATATAATCGTAGGGACAGCCCTAAGGCCTTTCCGAATAGCTTTTCTACGACAAACCGACATCAAAAGTCAAATAACGGAATCATGAGTATATATAAATATATATAACTATCATTTAAGCTTATTCAAATTAACGAATATAAAAGTGAATTATTGAAATTCTTCGGTGCTTATGTTATCTTTTCTGATGTACCGTGTGATATGTACTTAATGTTATGTGTTATTCTGTATGTATATGTAGCAACTGCGCAAGGCAGACCGGCAACCGTCAAGTCAAGCAGCCTCAGCGGGCGCAAATTCAAATTCTAGTCAGCCAGCGCCCGCTCCAGGCACCCCTGGCGGCCGTGACGCCAAGCACCCTTCTGTGTCTCGCTATTGCATGCCTCAGCATGCTACTTACACCCCACCAGATCCTACGGCACGTACAGTCTTCTATCTCTCTCGTTTACTTTGTTTTAACTTTGACAAATATGTGATCAACTGTCATTTCTTCAGTGTTACCAATACTAATGATTATAACTGATTTTTACTTAATATACTGTTCAGTTCAAGATATTAGATTTAAATGTAGATCTCTCTGGATTTAGATTGTGAAATTTGTTTGGTTTTCGGATTTAAAATCTAACCAGCTTTATAATTAAAGTAAATTTTAGACAAAACTATATTGTTTTGATAAATTTATCTTAAATAAAATGGATGCTGAAAAGTAAATGAACATCAAATATTTTTTACTTCAAAACAATTAATAGCTCAAACAGAAATATGATTTCCATTAAATAAAATAGTAATAATTATTCTAGAATTCTCTATGCTTAAAATACATTTAAAATAAAAAAGATAATAATAGGTCAGAAAATAGATAAATAAAATTCAGTTAATTATTTTAGTTGGACAACTACTTTTAATGGCTAGTTGGCGTATTTCCAAAACAAATTAAAAATCAACATTTTGAGACGAGCTTTAAACGTATAAATCCTTTAATGAAACAAATACATTTTTTTAATTAAAGAAATTCAATTTATATAGAATGTAATTTATAATTGAGTAATTAAAATTACTTATATAGAAGAATAACGATATAATACGTTAGTTAGCCAAAAGTGAGAGAAATGGCAGTTATCAACAACACTTTGCAGAAATCGTAGAACATAATTTTATATGATTAATTATGAAATATAAACATTAAGTTTTGATATGACATGATTTCTGTTTCGTGGTAAACTACATCTTTAACACATTAAATACTTTTTAATACAAGAATACACACATCAAAGTTATATCTCATGTAACACTAATTATACATAGATCAAACAAAAAAAAAATTATTGTCGTTAAAGCCTAGGACTTCCAGTAATAATAAAAATTTAGTGTAAATAACTTTACGCATGTTAATCGAAATTTACCTGCAACAAAAATAGGAATCCCGATTTTAGAAAATTCCTTAGTTTGAAATTATACCTGATATATTTTATCCAAGTCAACATGCATTTATTTGATTGCCAAGTAATGACTGAACATGTGTATTCTTTAAAAAGGCTTTATATGTGTACTTTTGATCTACTTCATATGTATCCAGTTATTGCTTCCTTAAATCTTCCAAACAAATGTTTGTTTATTAACAATCTTAACAAACCAGAGTCAAACTCCAATGACATATCTGTAATTTTTTGATTTTGACATAGTTAAATGTATATGTATATAAAGAACTCTCAAAGGAAAAGATGACCCTTCTCTCAAAAAAAATTTACCAGTTTTAAGAGTTTTTTTGTGACAGTTCTATATTCAGGATCAATCCTTTTTAAAAATCACCCTGTAGTAGAATCGGTATCCTTTAAATGGTATTCAAAAATGGGAAGTGATGTTTCCTAGATGCGTTAACGGGCTTTAAACGGAATGGCTTAGGGACACAATTAAAACAAATTGTTAAACATTATGTCTTGAGAGATGGCAGCACCAACTAGCCTAAGGCAAGAAAGAAAACAACTTGATTTATTTATAAACAGTTTGAGTTTCAAATGCATAGAATTTTAAGTAAGAAATTACTGCTAATTTTAAGATAACATAAAAAAGGAAAGTTTGGTTAGAACTTTGACGATAATAGATTTTTTATATAAAGAAAAAGTTGGCTCTGGTTTGTGTAATCAAAATTATTATTTACGTACTAACTTTTATATACAATTTTTAATATATGAAATAGATGTAGATATTATACATATATAAATAATAATCATTCCATTTCATATACATACATTCATTACATTTAAATACTTCAGATAAGTATACTACAGGCTTATATTTACTTATTCATATTGGAACGTATCAGACGTTTAAAAAATATATAAGATAAAAAAATGTATCTGACATAAAGTAAATGTATGCTAATCAAAAATACTTAATTGTTTTTTTGGTAAGCCATTGTCATACTAAAAAGTACAAAATTGTTAATAATAGAGAACCAGGTGCCGACTGACACAAGTATCTAAATAATTACCTTTAAAATGTGTCAGCATAATTTCTTGTTATGACGAGAGTTTTAGTTATAAATTAATCTATCACAAATTGAGACATCATTACACATAAAAAACAAAATTATCTCTTTTGTCCATTTGTTTTGGTTCTGCTACCTACTTATAACAAAATTCTTTCTTCTAGTTATAACAAAATTCTTTCTAACTCTCAACATTTTGGAAACATTGAACTTGCTAAAATATTGCTACTCTGCTTATCAGTGTTTGCGTATTTATATTTCCCTTTCGTAAAATTTGCTAATTGATAATTTAGAGGAAATATCTATTCATTCACTATTAAATACAGTTATTCATTAACTAAACATTTTATAAAAATAAAATATAAATAAACAAATGTGGCACCAATATTGGCGTCTTTTATTATGATATAATCAACATAATCGTATTTTTCATTAAATGAAAATATTAAGTGACAATAAAGATATGTTTTATATCCAATTTTATATCCATGGGTTAAAAATGAAGCTTGTGTTGATGATCCCTATTATAACCCTTCCAGATTCATATTAAATAAAATAATGATGAAATTTTAATAATCTTGCTGATAAGGTGCAGTTGCTCCAAATCCAGATAGATAAAATCATGAAAACAAATGATGAATTAATCAAAAAATATACAGGAATAGAAGAAAGTATGGCTAGCAATATAAACCATGCAACTAACCCCACTGAATACTTTACTGATGAAGAACATCTTGCAAAAGAGACTGAGTGGTTCCGCCCGAAAAACAGAAGAAAAAAAAAAGAAAAATGGATACCTCATTGACACCTCCGTAACCACAGCCACAACAATAACAGCACTACAGTAGAAAAACCTGTAAAAATCAAGGCACTACCACCTATCATAGTAGATAAGGAGAAAATGGCATCAGACCAGAGCTTCATTAAATAAAACCAAACTTAACAACGCCACTCAGCAGTTAAAAAGAGAGATAAAAAAAATCAAAAATGAATCTATTTGTGAGTACCTTAGTGAATTGACAAACGATAAATCCACTGAATATTCTCTATGGAAAGCCACAAAGCGATTAAAAATGCCCACTGTGTAGAATGCTTCAATCAGAAAAACAGATCGCAGCTGGACTAGAAATAAATATACAAAAAGTTCATAGATTCGCAGAGCACTTCCAACCAAATGAAGGAGAAGAATTACCGAACTGGGATCCTCCAGTGAGAGATAACTCAATTATCAGACCAACCTCTCCAAAGGAAATTGCAGAAGATATAAAAACAAATATTAATCCTAAGAAAGCTCCTGGCTTTGATTTAATTACAGGAGAAGTCTTAAAACAACTTCCGAAGAAAGCCATAATTAAACTTATACACCTGTTTATAATGCCTTATTCAAACTGAGGTATGTCCCTAGGTTTTGGAAAGTAGCTGAAGTCTTGTGATCCCCAAATAAGGAAAACCTTCGAACGAAGTTTCATCAGATAGGCCAATATCTATATTGCCTATATTATCGAAACTATTTGAAGAAAATACTAATAAAAAGGCTGAACCCTATCACTAAAGAAAGGAAAGTTATTCCAGATTACCAGTTCGGAAATCATTCAACTATAGATCAGGTTCATAGAATCTCAAATGCGATTGAAAAAGCATTAGAAAACAAAGTCCTTGATGTTGCGCAGGCTTTTGATAAAGTATGGCATGATGGCTTAAAACATAAACTGAATGTGCTACTTTCATAGCCATACTCAGAGCTATTGGATTCATACATTTCAGATAGATTCTTTAGAGTAAAACAAGATAAAGCATACTCTGAATTGAAAGAAATTAAAGCAGGAGTACCACAGGGAAGCGTCCTGGGACCCACTTTGTATTTGTTGTACACTTGTGACATACCTCAACTAGAACAAGACACAATAGCTACATTTGCAGATGATACTGCCATCCTAGTGATAGGCAAAGATCACGAAGAGGCTGCAAATAAACTACAAACATCAGTTAATCAAATAATTAGTTGTACCAAAAAGATGGCGTATTAAACTAAACGAAACCAAATCTGTTAATATTAATTTTATTAACAAAAATGGTCAAAGAATACCAATTAACATAAATAATGCCCAGGTCCCTTATGTTAACTCGGCAAAATATCTAGGTATTACATTAGATGCAAGACTTTGCTGGAAGGTCCATGTTAAAAAGAAAAGACAAGAGTTAGATATAAAATTCAAGAAAATGTACTGGTTACTTGGTAGGCATTCCAGCCTATAACAAAATTCTATTATATAAATAAGTTCTCAAACCAATTTGGACCTATGCCATTCAGCTCTGGGGTTGTGAGAGCCAGGCCGGGCCCCAGGAAAATTCTCTAGATCGGGTCCCGTTAAACAAAAAACTGTTCTCCCTACTTCAATTACTTCTTCTTCTGAAAAAAAAAAAAAGGTCCTCACATTAAAAAGCTATTCTACCTACCTCAACTGCTTCTCCTTCTAAAATGCTGCGCTACCGGGCCCCCATTTAAGCCCGGGCCCCGGGAATTAGTCCCGGCTACCCCCCCTCTAGTCGGCCCTGCCGGCTACAGTAATATTCTAATGATCCAGAGATTCCAGAACAAAGTATTAAGGAACATTGTCGATGCTCTTTGGTACATTAGAAACAGCGACTTTCATCGAGACCTTCAGATGGATACTGTTGACCAAATTCGCTAGGAGTCACAAACAACGGCTCCACTAACGTGTGAACGTTGAGGTGATCCAGCTTCTTAACAACACGAACCTGACAAGAAGACTCAAGAGAGTGAAATCTTTTGAGTTAGCCAAGTGATTGTGTTAATAACAAAGCAAAGCATTGTGCGGTTTAGTGTTACACGTCAGTTTAGTGTAATTAAGTTATCAGACCCTAAGGTGTACTAGCGAGTAGAACTTTAGTTTTTAAGATTGCAACCCTAGTTAAGTTAGGTTATAACAAAATTACTCATTAATCAACTCTTGATCAGATTGAAATATCAATAAACGCCCCTTATAGAGTGTCTTTTCATAAAAAAATAATTAGGAAGAGTAATATTATTATTATTCAATTAATAGAAAATTTGAGATTAGAATGCATCAATGCATTTCTCATATGCACCGATGCCGAAATTATCACATCAAACTACCGTCTAGGAATCTCAACAGTCAATATAGCGGTGGTAGAAGTAGGGCATTTGAGTACAGAACAAAGATATCTGGGTTCAAATCCCAGCGACGACAGGATTTTTTTTAAATCTCCAAGTATTTGTTTTCACCTTTGGGGTTTGGAGATGGTCATAATATTTCGTAGTGTGATTTTTAAGATTTGTTTCAGAATTTTCAAATAATTTCTAATAAAATATTTATTTATAAATGATCAAACTAAATAAAATAACTAATATGCAAATAATATAAAATAATGAATAGATGTTGCCTTTGTGATATTTGGTTGTTGCGTATCTCAGTCAGCGCCTGTCAAAATGGCATGTTTTATTAGATGTTAATAATTGTCGTAAATGTAGACCTAAAACCCATAACTCCATTTATTTTATAATTTTATTCTTAAATACAGGCCTTTGCGTGGTTTAGCGACTTACTAGTTGAACACGCTGAAATATTTTGGTCTTTGTTTGCTGTGGATATGGACAGGGTATTGGCAGAACAACCAGCAGACACTTGGGATTCTTTTCCACTATTTCAAATCCTGAACGATTACCTTAGGGCTGACGGTACGTAAAGCAAAATAAGGTTACTCAAAGGCTGCTTATTACTTATTTTATAGATAATTTGAAGAATGGACGATTTCATCAACATTTGAGGGACACTTTTGCACCGCTAGTGGTAAGATATGTAGATCTTATGGAATCTTCTATTGCTCAATCAATACATAAAGGTTTCGAAAAAGAACGATGGGAAGTTAAAGGGTAAGTCCAGATTTAAAACTAATTACTAAATAAAATTATGTCTGTTTTTTAGTATGGGATGTGCAACATCGGAAGATTTATTTTGGAAACTAGATGCACTTCAGTCATTCATCAGAGACTTGCACTGGCCGGATGCAGAGTTTAGGCAACATTTAGAGCAGCGTTTAAAATTAATGGCTTGCGATATGATGGAATCATGTATTCAAAGAACGGAATCTGCTTTTCAGCAATGGTTAAAGAAATCAGTAACATTTATATCTACTGATTATATCATCCCATCGGAAATGTGCGCTATGGTTAATGTTATATTAGATGCAAAGAACCAGTCTTTAAAGTTATGCGCTGTGGACGGAATTGATCTGGTAAAAAGATTTTCAAATAATATTTCAGAAATCGTTTAATCCTATGTCTTTATTTTAGCATCAATATCATACCAAAATAGATGATATGATAGAAAAAACAAATGCTAATATGGTTCAAGGATTAATTAGTAAAATGATGTCGGTTCTTGAAGCCACGATGTCCAAATTGTCCAGGTATGATGAAGGAAGTCTTATTGGTTCCATTCTAAGCTTCACGGTAAATAAAAATAAATACATAAAAAATAATTTATTAGTAAAAAACATTTTTATTTTAGAATGTGTCTGGTTCCGGGAAAGACATGGGACAAGGTTATGTAAATTTCACTAGAAATTGCATGGACCAGATAAGGCAAAAAATTACGGATGAGCTGTGGATTCTTACATTCTTTGAACAGTGGTATACAAGCCAAATAAATATGTTGTGTAACTGGCTGTCAGAGCGTTTAGACCATACTTTACATCCTTACCAATGTACGTGCCTTGCTCATATCATAAAGGTAAGATATATTTTCAATTTTATTTATTGTTTATTAAGTATGACATATATACTAAAAGCCAGCGACTACCAGACGTACGTTATAGTATGAAGGTTAAGATTTTTATGTATGTGCACAAGATAGTAGATAATAACGTTTAGGTGTTATGAATTCTGTTAGATAACAGGTCCTCAAAGTACCAAAGAATGTCGGGTAAATACGTTATAGTATGAAAGCAGATGTTTTAATATGTTCAACTAGATGATACTGTAATCTCCAATCAACAATTGCCTGACACTTTTCGCGGGAAGTAATGTACGTCTGGCTCTGGAAAGCGATCTAGAAAAACTGAATGCGGCAATACTTGTGACATATGAATCAAGCTGCCCCATTCAAACAAATAGAACGAGTAGGGACGTTTCTTGATGGAACAAGGAGGACCAAGCATAGCGGAAATTAGCAGAGCTACACCAAGGCACTTACCAACTAAAACATAGAAAGACTGCACATGGCTCTGGCAAAAGGGAGAGTGGATACATCTATGGCTCTAAAGAAACCAAAGGGAAGCTTTACAGAGAGTAAGGAGGAAAGAACTCGCCTTTTACTCGAAAAATTTACTTTTTTAATAAGGTATACAAATAAGATAAGCATGTCCTGTCCAAACACATTTGAGGCAGCAATTGGTTAAAATGGGCCATGAAGACTTTTGAACCGTTTAAATCTCCAGATGTTGATGTAATATTTCCTGCCATACTACAGCGGACACAGAAGGAATTACTACCAGATATAATCCGAATATCCTAAAGTAGTCTGGAACTGGGATGTATACCAGAATCATGGAGAAGGGCCAGAGTCACCTTTATTCCAAAAGTTGGATAAAAGGATACCATACTTCCTAAATCCTTTCGACCAATCAGCCTACACTGTATAAGTAAAACGAGTTTTTCTAAGTAATTCTTCTTGTTTTAGAAAGTATATTCTGATTTTGAACTCCAAGGCGTTATGGAAGATAAGTTAAACTCCAAAGCTTATCAAACAATAGCTCAAAGAATGCAAACCGAAGAAGCCACGTGTGCGCTGACCATGGGACAAGCCGAAAGGTAAGAAAATATATCTATATTAAACTGAAATAACCCTTGGCTGCAATTTAAAATCTTTACTTGATTTCAAATCTTGTAATGATAAATATACAGTTCATAAATTCACAGGGTTAAAATAGACTTCAAATAATCAAATAATAATAAAAAATTCCAAATAATTTTAAAATGAATTAAATGTTTTAAATAGTGTCTTTCTCCGTATATCTTATTTAATTTATTTTTGATTATTCAACGTTCAGTTAACATCTGTGATTATTTTAGTGGAATGGACGGAGTAGATGAAGATGGCGATAATAGAAGTAAAACAAAAGTGACAATAATGGAAAGCTTGAGCGGAGAAGATGGAAATTTGGTTTCAAATGTAGGAAACCTGATCGGCGGAAAAGTTGGAAATATATTCGGAAAAGGTCTGGGAGGAATAGGTTCCAAATTGGGCGGAGGAACTGGCAGTTGGTTTTAAAATTTCGAAGTAGCATACGATATAGCTTTTGTTTTTTGTTATATTTTGTACGAAAAAATATTTGGCCTGACTGATGGTCTTCTTTTGTAAAAATTATACGTAACTGAAGTTTTGTAAATAATGTTTTTTAATTTATGGTTATAAATAACACTACGTGTTAGTTTTACGTGTTAAAGCTGTTATTGAATAATTTTAAAACGCTTGAAATCATTCTACTTAATTAAATGAAGCCCATAACGATGAATATTAAGGGACCAGAGTTCTTATTTAAACATTTAAATAATATATTAAAACTTAACACCAAAACATTATTTTAATATTATTCAATTATTTTGTATATATTGGTGATGTTAAATGAAGGTAAATCATTCAAGTGTTTTAAAGTTAAATTGTATATTTAACAGATACAGGGCGTCTCAGAATGTTTGTCTCAACTTGTACATGTAAAATTGGGAAAACATTTTGCGACACCCCGTATACTTTTATTTGTTAGAATTATTATTATTTTGCTAGCTTTGAAAAGTACGGGTTGCCGTAGAAATAAGAAATTTGTGATTTTTATATTTAAAATATATATTGCACAAAAAATAAATTAAAAGAACATGTGGCAACCCTATTATATTCATATGACATATTGATTTTTTTTTAATTTATACAAATTAATGAAAGAATCATTATCTCTTGCACTGGATATCATTTTATCATACAAAATATATCTACTTGATAAAAATTTTAAACATATCGTGTATTTTTGAAACATATTTCTCATAAAATCAACTAGTTTTCAATAATTCTTACGTTATCCAATATTAATCGTTTCTTAGTATTTTTCCTCACGTAGAAAGTATAATTTTTACTACGCAACTTGGTATTGTAGCCTTTTAGGTTAATAAGCAGATATTTAAACATTTTTTAGACCAGAAAAATTTCTAAAACATCCTACATACACTTCTCAGTTCTCAAAATAATCAACAATTCATACGTTATATCTGATTTAATAAGCTCAGATACTGTGAGAGTTGTTCCAACAATCAGTTTAACGAACTCATATACATTTCAGAATCAGGTAAAACTATTTTTTGGGCATTTGCTTCAAAATGACGTCCAAAAAATTAGTGGTTCTTAGTTCTTGGGTGTTCGTAGGAATAATCTTTCACGTCTTCCAAAGAATGTAAATATAAAAAGAAAGAGTTCCGCTTTAACTTCAGAAATGTAGATACTTTATACCTATATGTGGTTGTGATTGAAAAAAAAAAACGGAATTTTTAAAAACTACATGACGTTATTTTACAGATTTTAAAAAATGATCTCGGAGTACGTGCTTTAGAATGCATTAAAAGATATAAAAAAATATATCAGATATACGCGATGAATTATAAAATAGTTCACTGAACCTCTGTAGAATTGATCACCACTTATTGCTTTATTGCACTGTATTCCGAATTTGTACATCATTTTTCTCTATTTCGGAACTACAAAAAAAAAAGGATATTTAAAGAATACTCTTTTGCAATTACTACTAAACCAGATCAAAGTTGAAGTAGTCATTAAAAAAAAACAAATTGTTCTCTTTATTTTGTCCAGTATTAATAGAATAGACATTCCAATTTCCAATTCGAAATAAGGCAGATAATACAGATGCCTGAAGTTAGCATCTTAAATCTCAGCATATTATATTTTAAGCATAGTTCTTGTGGTATCCGGTATAGTTCTATGGTTCTTGATACTTTTTATTAATAGTTCTGTCGAATTTAGTACCGAAAACTGCAATTTAAAAAGTGACAAGTTCTAGAATATATATATAACGCTTCTCAAAGATAACTAGACTATGTTGGCATGGAATATCGAAGAATTCTAGTCTCTAGCACTCTTAAATTTTTTTTAACTATTAGTAATAAAGAGAAATTATAGACTATAGTAAGATGCAAGTAAAGGTACTGCAACAGTTCCGCCTCATTCCTTATGTAAATTAATATGGGAAAGCGCTAAGGTTTATTCTGCCAATTTTTGTCGCTTTCAAGTACACGAGTCGAAGTTCGAATAATGACAGCTGTCAACTGTAACATCTGTAACCTGTCAGTGGTGCAACTCGGCAAGCGACACTTCTAAGTGATCCGAGATGGCGATCCTCGCTACTTCCAAAAGTCACCATGAAATAGCGCCACGTGTTACCAGTCATAAGCCAAAAGTCTCAACTTTCATTGAATAGAATCAAACAGGAAAAAATGGGGGAGTGGGGGGGAATTACATGCGTTGAAGAGAAAAATCATCAATGTCAAAGTCAAAAGGACCTAAGTTTTGGCGTCATGTCACCAGGAGTTAGATATCAACAAAGACATAGAGAGAGAGAGAGACTGAAAGGCAGACAAATGGAAGAAGGAGGCAGACATATGATCATACGAACAGATAAAGTCATAAAAAATTTTTACAAATTCAATTGGTATTACATCGATGAGCAAGTAAACAATGCGATGCAGCTGTCAAAATGATAGGAAGGGGAAGTCAAAAAGATCATGGGTTTCGTATTGAGAATAAGTGGCAGGTAGAAATCTCATCGGTATCGTTCATTGGCGTATCGTCATTGACGATATTAATAACAATACTTTTTATTGTTAATTTACATAAGGAATGAGGCCGAACTGTGGCAGTACCTTTACTGATGCAGTCATATTATGATGAGTTCTAGAATATGCAATGCTTCCTCATGATAACTCTCTAGTACTTTTTCAGTAATTTTAAGTAATAATGACAAACATAATTTATAGACCATACTGGGATACTGGCACATTATGATTAGTTCTAGAATATAGAATAAATGATATAATATGAATTGCTTTTGTTATTAATACTTAAAATTATTCAAAATTGCTAGATGCTAGAACTTTTAGCGATTCCATGCAAAGATAGTGTAGTTATCATTTAGAATCGTTATTCCAGAACTGGTAACAATGTGCCAGCATCTCACTATGGTATATAATTTATAATGCTAGAGGCTAGAACTATTTGGGTCTCAAGTCAGATAGGGTTAAGTTATCATTTAGAAGCATTATATATTCTAAAACTCGTCATAATATAACAGCATCTCACTAGAGACTAAGACTCCATAATTTTTGTTTATTAATATTACTTAAAATTATTGAAAAAGTGCTAGAGGCTAGAACTCTCTGGGTTTCAGTGCAAAAAGATTTATGTTATCATTTAGAAGCATTATATATTCTACAACTCGTCATAATATGACAGCATATCTCACTATAATCTATAATTTTTGTTTATTATTAATACTTAAAATTATTTAAAAATTCCTAGAGGCTAGAAGTCTTCGGGTCTCAATGCAAAGAGAATTAAGTTATCATTTAGAAGCTTTATATATTCTAAAACTCGTCATAGTGTGCCAGCATCTTACTATGGTATATAATTTCTGTTTATTATTAATACATAAAATTATTCAAATAGTTCTAGGGGCTAGAACTCTTCGCGACTCCATGCAGAAATAGTCTAATTATCACTTAAAAGCGTTACGTATTCCAGAACTCGTTATAATGTGCCAGGATCTCACTATGGTCTATAATTTTGTTTGTTATTATTACTTAAAATTATTGAAAAAGGGCTAGAGGCTAGGACTCTTCGGTTCTCAATGCAGAGAGTGTTAAGTTATCATTTAAAAGCATTATGTGTTCTAGAAGTTGTCATAATATTTATTTATAATGTTTTTAAGAGGGCCAGGGCTATAAATGAAATAATTTAGCTATGCAAACTAACAAGAACTTTAGAACTATTCATAAACTATCAATTTACCGTCTGCTTTTTTTAAATTTTATTTTATTTATTACATTGGGAGGCTAACTTCCGGCCCTTAGCATCTCATTTCATAAATTGCAGTATTCGGTACTAAATTCGACAGAACTATTGATAAACAGTATCAGGAACTATAGAACTATAGCGGATGCCACAAGAACTCTGCTAAAATATGAGATGTTGAGATTTGAGATGCTAACTTCACACACCCAGATAGTACCACCTAAATAAAACAAAATAAATCAGAAAACTTTCGCAATTAAAGAGTTACAAGAAGAAGCAAATAAATAGTCGTAACCTCGTTTTACAGTTATTGGTGTTAAAGTATATAAAAATATTTTTTATCACATTTTTGGACTAATAATTTATTTATTTTAGATGATTAATTGTATATAAGTAGCAACATTATTATTAAAGAAAAGCAAAATGATTGAATAGTTATTACTATTTATAAATAAAAAACAAATTAAACGTTTATTTACATACTAATGGAACACCCGGTGTGTATGATCTGAGAGTGACTATAGACAAGCAAAACATCCACGCTTAATCAAAACATCTACATATACATTACAATTAAAATACAGTAAAATAAAAAAAAATTCAACTGTAATGTCTACTTTTCATTCATTTTATTTATTTAAAAGAAGTAACTATAGAAAAAATTGATTTATTTCTAATGAAAGGGATTCCATGATCTTATTTTGCCTTTCAAGTTTTTCCCGATTTTTAATTTATGCCATTACATCTTATCTGTAGCACATTAATTATTAATATTTTTAGTCCTAGAGCCAACATACAGATTTGTGACTTATTTTCTTATGGCTGAATTTATTATTAAATTGTGCTATGATAGGTATACTTCATTAAAGCGCGACGTTCAGACTGGGGCGCTTAGGTAACTGTAGTAACTATAGTGGTACGTACCTATCAAAAATTAGACTTATTTTCTTAACATTTTCGTTATGTTCATTCGACGATAAGTACCCACCTACAAGAAACAATAAACCCTCCATCATTTTCGCTGGACCATTTTTTCTGGACTTATTTTTAAAAAGCAAGATAAAAATGATGCCTAAGAGCCCCAGTCTGAACGTCGCGCTTTCGTGAATTCTTAGACACATATCACTCAATAAGGGAGAGTGGGGGAATTGTGCGCACTTAAGCGAAAATAGTTATATCACTAATAGCATTGTTGCGGGTAATGGTGCGCAATTGTTAGGGAATCGTGCGTATTAAAAGTAATAAGTATAAGATAAAACCAACACTAACTTTAAAAACATTTATTGAAGTCGTGAATCATAATATAAAAAACATTATACTAACTCCTAATTTGGACGCGTTCCGTGCAAACGTAAACAACTGATGTGAGTAATGGCGTCAGTGATGCTTAAAAGCCCGCGAAATATGAAATATTTTGATGCGCACGATTACCCGACGCGCACGATTCCCCCACTCTCCCTTAATAAATTCAGACATAAGAAAATAAGTCACAAACTTGCAATTTTGCTCTAGGATTGTTTAATTTCCTATTTGATTCTTGGATTGTTTTACTTTTCTTGCAGTATCTACCTCATACAGTCTCTCCATTGCGAGAACAACAAGAAACAATTGCGTCACATAAATGTTAGGTACTGGAGTACAAAATAGGTATGGGGTTCAGCCCTAATTACTACATGCATGTTATCAAAGTTTATTTTATGTAGGAGTTGAACTGCAAAAAAGAGTGACGTCAATTATGATGATCGCAATGGCTAAATGTACGTCAACAGTTTTTTAGCCAAAAAATTCAAAAAACTATAGTAGTCGTTTTCTTTTTACAGGTACTAAAAGTTATATTCTGATCTAAGCTATGTTGTTAAAAGAACGCGAATTTTAGTTGACAGGCGACGGGTCCCATATCATCCGTTTAAAAACAATCGAAATTTTTATCAAATTTTATAATTTCTTCAACATTCAACACTATGATCTTGCCCCCAGTTATCATAGTCTTTTAATCTCTCTAAAATAATGAATTCATAGGATAAGTTTGTTCGTATGATGCACAGAACACTCACTTTCTGTTATGGTTTATGGTTGACGTCAAGATCCATGTACCTTGACATCGGTAAGGGGCACCTAGTGATGTTAGGTTGGAAGTGGCAACAGGGCTTACACCGGCATGGATATTTCCGTTGTTTATTATAAGAGCACAGCGGCTTACAAATTTATTTATTGATAAAAATAAGTCGTATCTGCGTAAAATTCTTCTTTTTACCCCTTCTCTTACTTCTCACCTTTCGTCGCCTCGCCCCGTCCCTACAACTAGAGTGTATCGATTGTCGAATTAATCTTGGCATCGTGAATATATTTTATCAATGAATGGTTATATCTCTGTTATGGGGGGAAGAAATATTTTGACTTACAATCACAAAAGAACGTACAATTAAGCTTAGTCGATGTAAGTTAGCTTAGATTAGTGATAAAAAGAAAGCGACTATTATATTAAACTACATTTACTAATTTATCGAAATTTTTCATATTTCAACCTTGTTTTTGATTCAAATATTTCTTAAATTTATTTTTAGTCATATTATCTATAACATCTTTTCCAGATTGTATCAGGTACAGATATCACATAAACAACTGAACGAAATCAATTCATTCTTTGGTAAATATAATTACATTGACGGGTAATTAGTCGCAGCATTTTTATAAATCAATAATCATTAATTTTACGCATTTCCGACAACATGCCATTGGTGAATTTATTTTAATGAAATTCGTTAAATAATAGAGATATATTGCAAATTTCTATAACGTCAGCCAATAATAAGCAGTGACAACGTAGTGAGAGGCTAAAATAAGACTTATTACAAACCTGAAGTTTTGACATTAGAGTTCTTGCCCTTATACATATTTCTAACCTCATTTAAAAAATGTTAAATTACAGTTCATCTTTTTTGTTGTCTATAATATTACATAATATGAAAGAGGCATTAGAAATTATTATTTTAGAAGGTTTCGTTGACGATGATATTAAATATTTAATATTAAAAAACTTCGAACTAATACGAATGTCGACGGGCGCACCCGAAAACTATAAAGTCGGCACTATCTGCTGCTCTAGAATGTAAATGATGTGCGCATGTTCAGTTGTCAAAATAAGAGCGGCTAATAGTGACTGACGTTAAGTGAACTTGCAATAACTCTCTAATATCTGTAGTTTTATGTCTATGTTTGTCATTGTTTCCAATAGACATGTCATAAAAGCCAATACTTTCCTTAAAATAAGTATTTTTAGGAAATCTGTCAAACGTAAATAACTGTTGAGTCGACCTGTGTTGACTGTTGGTCTATTTTTGTGCCTTAAGTCATAGAAGTGAATTTTTTCGTTTTATTTTTAAGTCGTAGACAACGTACAGATGGTGCAAATGTAGCAAATACGCAAAATTTCAACGTACATATATTTTTGCCAAAGTGCAATTTGAAATTTTTGCACTATTTGACACAAGTTGACTCAATACAACAACTAACTGACAGATTCCAATACATTTTTACTTACCGATGTATTTAATATGATTAAGCAGTATATGATTGTGTACATAAATTATCTTTATTATTATTAAAATAAAATGGTTAATTCAATCTATTACGAAATCATAATGGTAACTCGTAGAAATAAATTAAAATAAAAGATTTATTGGATTGATTTATAACATTTATATGTCTATTGGATTCACTAAAGCACTAGTTCATTATTTATCCAGTGCAATTTTATTTAAATAAATCGTTTTCCTTTTAAGGACTATCGGCTTGTTGCATATCTTAAAAATGATAAGGAGAAAACTTGTTTTATTATTCATTTATTCTATTGCATAGAGCTGTATCGTATTAATAAGACAGAGCAGACAAAGTAAGCATGTTTTTAAACGTGGGAATATTCGAAACAATTTTTGAAAGGGTTGACCAAACATTTTTTATCCTGTACTCAGTAAATTTAAGAAAATTTAGGTATCAACACTAAACAAATGATCTTGTTACATATTTGTTTTTGGTCTTTTGGTATAAAAAGGATTTAGTAACGTAAACAAATTTCTTTGTAAATTCTTTTCTTTGTTGAACTTTTTTGATAACATAAATAGGTATTTGAAAAAAAAAATAGGTCACTTATAACAGTTTTCTAAAAGTTGTTAGATACCCCACTCTAATCTAGTATTCTATTATTTATATAAATATAATTAGCGACGAAGTAACGGTCCTAGTCAGATATTCAAATTTTAAGAGCCGGCAAAAACTACATTTATTTTTATTACCACTTTACTCTCCTATAACAATCTGCAAACTTTTAAACCATGCATTTAATAACTAGAAAGTCAAGTTAGATCAAATATTATAGTTCTGGTGATAAAACCTATTAGATGTGCATTATAAACTTAACTTAGCCCTATTTCTAATTCCTAAGATTTTCTCAATTTTATGAACAGTACCACTCAGAAAATTTATAATAACTTTAAAGACAGAAAACAGTAAAAATATATTAATAGATATATATCTGTTACAAACATCTTTATCAGAGTTAGTTAGAAATTTAGTCCTATCTATAAGACTAAATCGGTTATAATAAGAATAAAGTCTTAGATAATTATAAAGTTCGACATTTCATATTATACTCTGTATGTATATCTGTCAGATTAGGGTTCAATCTTCCTACAAATAATTATAGTTAGAACATTTTAACTCTAAATAAGAACAAACAGTTCTATTTGATTGCCTGCTTTAAAATTAGAGTACGACCGTTATTTTGACACTGGTTTTCCTAGATTTCATTTATTTTAAATCTTAGATAATAAATGGTTACTGTGCCATGCTCTGTTGGTAAAATTTGGTCAAACCTTCAAGTTTGAAAGCTGGGCATCGCGTCTTATAGTAACCACACACATTTAATTTTTATTAGATTTTCGTAATATTTTGAGCTCAAAAACAGATCCGCAATGGATTTGTATGTAGGTTTGATTCTGAATGAAGCTGTTTTATGAGAATCTAATAAATGTAGATGATGCGTTGTTGCCCTTATTGAAATAAATCCTATGAGTTAAAAATAAAATAATATTAAATCTTCACATTCAAATTTAATATCTAATAAAGTTCAGTATTGAAAAAGTATCTTTAACGATTACTGCATGCAACCTTAAACTATAGTTATATTTCACAACAAACATTGACGAGTATATAGGTATATTATAGTTTTCAATTTGTAGAATCCTTATCAGAATCTTAAAATAATAAAAATATATCATTTTTCTGGATAGAAGAAGCTATTATTTCTCATAAAATTACTAATTAAACCATTATAAAATTTTATAAACATTTAAGAGATTTTACAAATTGAATAACTAAATTTTGTTGACAAATAATTTTTGAGTAGATAGGAAAAATGTAGTATCGAATTATTACAAGACTCCTCAATGTCTGGTTGTTTTCTTAAAAAGTCTTACTTCAACTTTTGAAAATTGTTATATAAATAATATATGTATAGAATGCTTTTATTTAAGTTCTTGTATTTATCAAACCTACTTATAAATTCTTGAATAGAAAATGCAAATAAATTTATAAACCTAACAAAATATTCTTTCTTAATATGGAATTAAAGTGCAATATAGTTGATAAATAATAAAGAACCTGTTTTTGTTGTGATCTATTATTAGAAACTAGTTGACTTTTACATATGGGCCTGTGATGTCAACAAAAGCATTGCTATATAAATTAATAATTTCCTAAACTCTATACAAATGTTAAATATGTACGGGCCATATACATATTGTTATGTTCAACTGACATGTAATATGATAAATAAATTGTTTTAATATCATTTATCAATATATTTTTTCCTTTTATATCTTCTTACACCACACAATTAATATTATAAGCTCTAGCAACTGAATACCTAGTAGATGTAGTGTGAAAAATCACTTTCCACTAAATAATTTCATCAAAAAAATGTAAAACCAGGGAATCTAGCAGTGGCGTGCGGTAACATTTTTGGAAGGGGAAGCGATTGTATAAAAATATAGCAGGCCAGTAAGCCAGTAAGCGCCATTTTGTCAAAATCTTACTTTTTTCCTCAGTACTACGGATATTCGAGATTGATATTTTTGAAGTGTCACTATTACTTTATTACCTAGTTTAGTAATAGAAGCTATAAAAAAACTTACCATTGAAAAGCTTCCTTAATTTATTTAAACGTAAAAAAATCATTTAACTGAAGTTTTTTTTATTTTTTCCTGTATTTTTCGCACAGTTGACATAGCAGTTAACATTTATTTATACTTAAGATCTATTCGCCTATCCTCAATGGCTGCAAATTTGTGTATAACATCGTCGTAAAATTTTGGATTTTCTGATAACTGTTTAACAAGCTGTTTTTCAATGGATATTAGGGCTAAATTAGAGAGTCTGTCTTCACTTGTTAAATTTCGTATAAAACTTTTAATGCGCTTTAAAGCTGAAAAACTTCGCTCAACTTACGCACTTGTGGCTGGGATGGTTAGTACTAATTCACACAACTTGACAAGTTCACAAAGGGACTTATTTAAACCAGTTGTTATAAGAAAATTTAACACATTGATGGGCGTCTTTTAATCATAATTTCAGTTGTTTTATAAACAACACTTAACTGGGACTTTAATGCTGGAATATCGAAAAAATTTCCATAATTTAATTTTAGTGAATTAAAAGCTTCCGATGGAAATTCTGATGAATCGTAGTTACTAATATTAAAATTGCACAATTCAACAAATTTTAATTCGTTAAAGTTTTGAAATCGAGAGTTCATTTGTTGTAAAATATTATCAAAAATTTCGGCGGATAATCGACTATAGGAGGTCTCTCTGTCGCCGACATTATCAATTATAATTCTTTTTCTTTCAGGTTCTAAGCCAATGTTTTGAGTCTTATTCCAAAAGTGTTCAAAGATCTCGTTTTTTATTCATTTTATTTTTAAAAATCATCAAGTTGTTTAATGCAAAAGCCAATGTCATTTGACTTTGTCTGTAAAATGTCGAATAAAATGTTAGTAAAAGGGAAAATCTCTGCATATACCCTTTAGCGGCACTAACAGTTTCAGCATCCCATGTTTCTTTATTATCCCAAACGTTTTGAAAAAAGTGTATCAAAGAATCACGGTATTGAAACACTGTTTGCACTAAACGTCCATTGTAGTTCCATCGCGTCCAAGCAACTTTTGGAAACTTTTTTGAACGTAAATGTCCAAAGCGTGAGTTCTTTTTGATGACTTTGAAAAGAAGGAAGCCACACCAATAAGCGTTTAAAAAAAACTTTGCAACCTTTAATATTATCCATGCTTCGCGATAAAACCAAATTAAGTCTATGTGCTATACAGTGAACGAAAATTGCATGTTGAAACTTCTCTTTCACTTAGCTTGAAGGACTCCTAAATGGCCAACCATTACGGCAGCACCGTCGTAGCTCTGGGCAACAAGCTTAGAACCACATTCTAAACTTGAAATAATGTTACAAACAATTTTAAACAATGCATCTGCAGTTCGTTCGCTAGTGACGTCCAAAAATCCTAAGAATCGCTCTTGAGAAATGCCATTAAATACATATCGCACAACAATGGATAATTGACTTAAGTTTGCTACATCTGTGGTTTCATCAAGCGCAATTGATACGAAAGGTGCTTTTTTCATTTCACTTTTAATATGATCCATCACAACGTCGGCAGTGCATTTATTTAAATCATTTTGGATTCTGTTTGAGGTACCTCGGAAAGTCGTCGAATCAATAAAATGATTTTTTACGGTATCGTCGTATTTTGCTCTCCCAGGAAACAAGTTACATCTATTACTTGTTGTAAGACGTCCCTGTTTTTTTTTACATTTCATTGTGAATTTTGTTGCTTATTTTTAAATGATTGTCCAAACTATGTTCAATGCGATAGGTCCCGAATGTTTTTTCTTTAATTGTAGCACTTATATGAGATTTGCTATTTTTATGTCGTTTTACACTTTTGTGAAAATTATTCAAGTCTGTAATACCGACTGAGTTCCAAAGTGTTATTTCGGCTATATTAAAAAGTAGGCAAGGCCAGCAAAACAATTTCTTCAAATTTTTGCAGCCGGTTAATCCTTCATACTTTTCATAGAACCCTGCGTGAAAATGCCTGATACATTTCTTTGCTGACTTTTCTACTTTCGTCTCTAAATTGATAGGATCCTTTAGTCTACTAGAATTAATAATGTCCGTTTTCTCTTCAAAATTTCTACTTGAGAATCCTTTTTTCAATAAAGAGCACACAATACAGACACAATTTTACCACATTATTATTGCTCACAGGCACAGTGCATAGTTCCTCCATTTTACAAAAAGAAAAACAACTACGAAAAACAAACCGAAATCTATCTGAAGTCTACGATTTTCCTAACACGTCGATTCGCAGTGTGAATTGCAATATGCGTATGGCGACGTAAAAATCGCTGCCTCTCGACCCTAATTTACGTGTCCAAACAGACTGATACTGTCGCGGCAAAGCAGGGTCAATAACACGAAGCGAAATCAATTGGAAGATGAGCAGGCTTTTTCAAGACTCGCTTCCGCCGACGGACTCGAAGTATATGGTGTGCGTTTACACAATTAATTTTCTCATGGGTGGTGCGTGCGTTTACACATTACACCAATGAATTGTTAGTACATTTACGAAGTTTACGTAATGTTTCAGAGAAAATATAGTACCTAATTTAATATTTATTTCTATGCATTGTAAACTGAAAAATATTTATTTTTAAATCTCAAAGTGTAGGAAAGCGGTGCTTCCCCCGCTGGAATCTAAATTCGTTTTTTATTCATATTGGTTTTGGATCATTTTTAAAATGTTTTGCAGATCATGTTTTCTCGAAATTAAAAACACTGTGGTTCCATTTATAAACACTTTCATGGAACGAGATAGTTAAAATAATATTAGTTACAAATAAATATTAGAATGCAATGTTTTTTATTAGTTTAGTCTGAAAATCAATAGTGTTATCAGTTAGAAAAAAGAACAAAGAAAATCAATACTGCAAGTTGAGTCAATGATAGAAGAAAGGAGGGTAAGTAAATTTTTTCGGCGGTGGCCCATAGATAGGGGGGCTCAATAAAAGGTTTTAATTGCACAAAAAATAACAAATCTTCCCTAGAATCTGCCCTTCCACTCAACCTATAGCTGGTTGTATACGTTTCTGTAAAAATGTGACGACACACTGTGATCAAAAATTATTATCTAGGATTACAAAATTGATAATAAACATCGAATCCAATTTTTTATTTTCTTTTCACACTATATTTACAAAAGATGCGAGTATAAAAATTCAACAATTTGACACATTACAATCAAGGACCGGAAAAAATGCAGTTTGCATATTTTTTTGATAAATTCAAAAATTTTGCATTAATTTTCGATTTTCAATCCCAAAGGTTCACTTCCAAGTAAAGTTTCAGTCGTAAACTCAGCGGGTGGTTATAATCCATTTCTTAAGGTGAATCCAGCACCCCTTATAATTTTCGGACAACGATATTTCAAAAAGAAATTTTTTAAAAATTTTGAAATTTTGGCAAAATAAATTAGTCAATAATATCTATAATATGCATATATTTTAAAGTTTTAATTCCTTCCAATTTCCGAGAAAAAAGAAATCAAAGGGCTTTAAATTTTGAAATATAATGAAAATAAATGCATTCCTCAACAGTATTATTCTTAATATAATCCCCAAATTTAAGTTATTAATGTCTTGTTAATGATTTTTTAAAATTTGTTAAAATTAGTGACTAAAACCCCTCGTTAAGTGCTATCTTCTGGTCTAACGCACCTGTAACTATCGTATCGTACACTCTCAGTCTTCATTCGTTTCTTGCAACGATTTACACTAGTTTACATCAGAAGATAGCATAGACATAAATACACGAAGATGTCTCTAAAAGTAACTAATGAAAATCTTTTTAATATCCTGCTCATTTTATCAAATCCTATTATTTCCAGGATGCGCATTTTACTACCTAGGCAAAGTGGTGATCAATCAACAAAGATATCACCATTAGAATCTCCATAAATTCCATCTGATATCAAATCTGACTAAAGCCTTTGTATGTGTTATGTTCTTTAGTTTTTGTTTAATGTTTATAGTTACAGTTAAATCTACATTCATATTATAAATTGAATTTAATGTCTCATAGGTTTTAATTTTTGACCACAGTGCGACATCTAACCTATTATATTATTATATAAATTTAAGAACATCGGTATATGTATACCCATTTTAAAAATTTCTTTTGAAATTTTTCTGTAGCGATTTAGAAAAATGGAAAGTGAAAAAATATTAAGCAGTGTTTATGCGTGTTGCTGTTCGTGTATTTTAATGCCATTTTTAATTTCTCAAACATACAAGAACAAGAGTGATATTTTGTTTTAATTTTATATTTTAGTAAAGCCACACCTGATTAGCTACTTGAGAGACATTTTATATATTAATTAATTAGAGTTATAATAGCAATCAATAATTAAAAAAATCTTACCTTATAAAAATCTAACTGATGTTTTTTAAAAGTACCTGGAAAATAACAGGTTTGTTATTTTTTTTGTTTACGTACATAATTCTCATCACTAGTTGTCTAATAACACTATTATTGAGTAACTGCCTCTAGGTAATTATAGTTCTTTATTTTTAAAGCATTATCAAAAAGTTTTGGTTATGATTTGTCATCAGTATAAAGATGGAGGTGGTACTGATACACAATAATCAATTATTAAATTCTTTTTATATGACGTTGCAAATAATTTGTTGTT